TCCTTTAAAATAAGTTATGTAAAGATAGAAGTGAATACTCTGCTTCTGAAGATAAAATCACAGTAGTCAGTAGGCAGAGAAATGTGTGCTTTTGCTGTATGATTTATTGCTATACCTTTGACACACAGGAAAAGCTCTCCAAAAGCAAGCATGGAAATTATTTTGGTATTGCTTCTTCTTGCTTCAGGGAAAATGCTGGCACAACCCCTAGCTGGTGCTGGCTTCCATTTCGTGTTTCTGGGCACTTCCAGGTGTGCTTATCTAGGAGCCAGAACTGAATATCTCAAAGGAACAGAGCAAGAAGCCTATCTAGTCTGTCTGTCTTCAAACTATTTGCTAATCTTGCTAAACTATCTCCATTAATAATCTCTTTTCAGTAGGCATGGATAAATCCACTTCTACAGGCTTTTGTTTACTTAAAGTATACTGTTGTCTTCCAAAAGTAAATTAATTTAGGTCAAATTCTGTATTGCTTGACCTCATGCTATTGTTCTGCCTTTGTCCACAGAGAACAACAAAATATGTTTCCACATGTAGATTTGCAAGGTAATGTTTGGCAGGCAGAGTGGCTCTTTCTAGCAGCACCTCTGCTGAAGTTAAGTCACAGATCATCTTCTTAACTTTGTACAACACATGCAATAAAACTCAAAAGTATGAAAGTGCATGCAACAACCAGACCAAGTTACAAAATATGCAAAACAATTTCAAGCATGCCATGCCACCTCAAAAAGAACAACCACTTGGCTTCCACTATACAGAGGAAAGGAGAGAACAGTTCTTGGGAGGAGAATAAAAAGCGAGTGAGGTTTTCCCTTAGCTCTCAAACAAATGAGGACAATAAAAAGTGAGTGAGGTTTTTCCTTAGCTCTCAAACAAACTTTTAGGAGGTTGTAAAGGAGAGTGACATGTATTCATTTGCTGTGGAGTTAGCATATGGCAGGTGAAATTCTTTCTTGAATTCTGCCTCCTCATACCCGGGCCATCACTCAGATCCACTGTGACCTCTCCTTCTTCTTTTGTCTCTTTCTAGCCCATCTAATCAGCCACTCCTTCGTTTGTCCCTCTATCTCCTTTCACAGTCCCACCCACCACAGCTGCCTTTATTAATGGCAAGGCCAGGGATATAAAATCTTTTTCTTTGCTCTGCCACTTGCTTGACTGGGAGGAGAGGCACAAGGTAAGCCAACTCCCTACAGATCTCATCAGTGGCATAAGGGAGGCAACTCCCCTGTCTAACTTGTCACCTCCACCTTATTTCATGGCTACAAGATATTCAGAAACGCACATTACTCACTGCTGATAAAGGTTTATTAGTCCCATTCTGGCTGCCATCCAGAGTCAATTATACTGTGTCAGAGCAGAAGGGTCTGTCCCTCCCTGTGAGCTAGTATAGCTCACCTGGAACTCACAACTGTAACTGGAGAGCACTGTGTAGCATACTGGAGGAATTTTCTGAAGAAATGAAATAAACTGGGCTCACCAGACACTTCATTGAAGCTCAAAAGAGTGCTTGCTTCACAGTCCTCACTGAAAATGAAAAGTAAGCAATTTTCCCTGGGTTTTGGTTTCAGCATCAGAGCTCAAGGCAGCAAGCCCTAGATGCAAGTAATTTAGTACCAGCCTGTGTGGATTGCCCTCAATTGCAGTATAAATTACATTTCACCTGTTTATATCAGAAATCTTACAGTGCAAATATACCAATAAATGTGATGATTGATGACCAATACTGACTAATGAGGCTTCTCAGCAAATCTTTTACCTTCAACAGTTTTCTAAAAACCTCACTACATCAGTCTAAATCTATAATTGTGCTACAATATTATATAGCTGTTTGATCCAAGAAATTACTTTATTATTCACCAAGTAATTGGTAAATGTTAATTTCCACTATGGCTCAGTCACATGCTTTTACTGTGCCTTGCTGGCACTGCTAAAATCCTCTTCCACCTTGAACACCCTAAAACACATGGCATTTGTTGATCTGCTTGTCCTTTCAGTCCAGTTTTGTGAAAAGCCCACAGAACTAGAATCTAGTTCTCATAATCTGTTGGAGAAACAGCACTGCCAGTTATTGTATATTTTCTTCTATTTGAGTATGTTTTCAGAAGTTTTTGAAAAAATAAATAGTGTTTTCATTATGCTTTTCTAATATGTTTTTCTTATTTTTAAAAAATACCATGCAGTGGATCCCATAATCATGACAGAGGTAAATTACAGGTGCAGAAAGCTGTGCCTCTATGCCTGTGAGATTCCATTTTCAGCCTATCACTATGAAGCTCTTCTTAAAGTGGGGAACAAAAATAAATGGTCAACAACAGTACTCTGACTGAAGTCTACTAAAGTTATATTAATCACAATTTTGCATATATTTTTATTTTTTTAATATATTTACTTCCTCTTGTTTTTAATATATATTAGCATATTTACTCTCTATAGCTTCCTATGCAGACAAGATAAAGAAACTCATTTAAACAACTGGCAGGTACAGTGAAATCGATTAGGCACAAAGTCACCTCAGTCATTCTGAAGATGCTGTTTATTGTTAGCTCCAAGTTAAGCAACGTAAAAAATACAGAACAGCTGACTTCAACCTCTTTCAGTCAAAATCAGCAAAGTGATTGTATATAATTCATCCAGTTATTTGTCACCAGGTTATTTTGTCAACATCAGTGGAAGAGAAGAAATTTATTAGACTTAACACGATGGTACAAAGGTAGCTGAGCTCTGGGAATGGCATATAGGACTTAGTTATCTTCTGACTCAAAACTTTGAAGAGGATGTTAACTAGGGATTTTTTTTTCTTTTATATCAGTTTGTTCTGAACAAACTGGACCTGATTCTGTAGGTCACTTTTAAACAACAGTTGGATTGGTAAAGCTTCATACGCTAATTAGTCTATAAAAATATTCTATTTTACGCTTAAGCACAGATGCCTCAAGATTCAGAAGTTATGCTTAAGAAGTTGGGTTTTTTTCAACTTTCCTTGCTTTGGGGGAGGGAGGTCAGAAGAAAATAACCTTTTCTTTCTTTAAAATGCTGTGATGGCTCAAAAGAGAGAGGATGCTTGATTCTCTCTTAAAACTTTTTGCCATGGATATGACACAAACAAAAATGCATTCTTTCTAGCCTAGAAAATGAAAATTACAAGAAGTGGTACTTGTGAAGAAAAATCTTGGAGAGGAAAAACATCAATCAGATATGACTTGACAAAGTCTTTGAATAAAAAGGACTTCTGTAAACAAATCTGAGCTGCATTTATGGCCTTGCTAGAAATTGTGCCAGTTCAACGGGCAAAGGTATCACTCTTGACCCAAAACAAAGTTACTTGTTAATCCAAATGCAAATCTCTATATGATAGTTTACTTATTACTTTCTCAAGAAATTACTTGAGTAATTTCTTGTTACTCTTACTATTTTCTCAACATGTCTGCAGCCAACAACCTAAAACCTCTTCCAGCATAGCAATAACTGAAACCATTAACGAATCCTGAACTCATTTTTTTCCCTTCACCTAACAAAGCTAAGCAAGATTAACAAAAGCATCTATAGTAACAATCACAAACAGTTATACAAGCATATCCTTTACATCCAAAGTCTGTCCTGAAGTCAACCGACTCACAACTATTCTCCGTGATGAAATAGCATGGCCACTAATACTTTACTGATCTCTTTCAACAAAATGTCATAAAACCACTATCACTAACAATGTTGAAAATACATGGAGTTAATCAGTGGATGTAAATGCAACCAGTCTGGAACACAGTCTCTTCACAGCAGGTCTGAAAGTAAGAAACTTTTCCCACTGGACAGACATAAGGAATTATGAAAGTTGTACAAAACAAACAGTGAAGTCCATTTGATGCTCTAAAGTCTGTTCTGTGTTAGACTGGCAATTGTGGCACAGCTGTGAGGTAGTGTGGCTAGACATCACAACTGGTTTTTAAACGGAGACTGCTATCTTTCTGATAAAATTAGAGGCAACTGCTATAAGTATCTATTATCAGAGCACCTCTCCTATGAGGCTAGACTGAGAGAATTGAGGTTGCTTATCCTGGAGAAGAGAATGTTCCAGGGAGACCTCAGTGCAACCTTTCAGTATTTGTAGAGGAATCATTAAGAAAAATGATGACAAACCATTTAGCAGCACCTGTTGCTATAGGACAAGGGGCAATGGCTTTCAACCAAAAGAGGGTTGATTCAGGTTAGATGTAAGGAAGGAATTGTTTACAAGGAGAGGTGTGAAATGCTAGAGCAGGTTACCCAGAGATGTGGTAGGTGCCCTATCCCCAGAACCATTCAAGATCAGGTCAAGCAGAGCTCTGAGCAACTTGATCTAGCTTAAGATGTTCCTGCTCATTGAAAGGTAGGTTGGACTAGAAGGCCCTCAAACATCTCTTTCATCCCTAACCATTCTATAATCCTAAGATTTTCAACTGGCAAAAATGAGGATATTTTTAAAAACACGGCTTTAACTCCAGGCTTTAACTGTGATTACCAGGCAAAAAAAAAATTCTTTTTTTTTAAAGAAAAAATACAACTTCTGTCAGGCAGGAAACAGCATAAGCAAACCATTTATTTCAACTATTAAATTGCTTATTATTAAAGAGAGTGTAATTATAACACTGAATGGTTTTCTTCTTCTGTTTCAGGACAAAACACATTTATGTTGGGGACAGTGAATTAGGTATTAAATACAAGTGGGCTCTCACAAGTTGAGGCTAAGTTCCTTCCATTCTCATTGCTAAAAGCTAATCCTCAAATAAGTAAGATATCTTGCAATAGGAAGAATTCATGAACGAAAACACCAATTAATGCTTCCCACTGCAAGGCTTTCCACAAATTCTTTGTAATACTTACAAGGAGTTTACAGACCTTTAATAGTTACATAAAAATCCCCAAATCTGCTTTTTCTAAACATACTTTTCCATCGCTTTTCATATCACAAACCAGACAACTAAACATTAGCACGAAACGGAGTCAATGACCCTCCATGAACTTACCATGTACCACATGCTTGGCCACTTGGGATCATTGAAATAAGTGGATTGCGTACCACCAGGTTTATAATCCCTCTTTATCCTTCTTTTAACCACCTGCTGTTGTATCCACTCCACCTGCCAACCAGGAAAACATATGGAGAACATTATGGTTCTGTGGAGATTATCAAGAAACGTGCAAAAACTTGGGATTGTTCTCATTACCATACTCCAAGGCATATTTAATATTTAAGAGTTCATTTTGGCAGTAGAAATCATGCCAATCACCTTGACATACTGCTCACTAAGGAATATTTAATTATATTAAATTTAGCTAGTGTTACAAATCTACCTGAACAATTGTTTAAATACCCTGCTAGATGGACTTCACTGGGTATCAGGTTTTAAATACTATTAGTTTCCAATTTTCTTTATCAGACTTATACTTCTTTTGAATGTATAAAAACTCATACACAAAATCTAACAGCATATTACAATAAGAAATTAATTGAATTTCTAAAAGGGTGGGTTTGTTTTCATTTTTATCTTTCCCTTCCCTAAAACAAAATCATTAAAAAATATATTCAAAAGTTTTGCTTTTAGACCAATATCTAAATCACCTCCACCACATGGAAAGGAAAAAAAAAAACAAAACAAATTAAACTTTGTTTTAAGTGAAGTGAATACTTGTCAAGATTTTCTCAGAGAGGCACTCTGGAATTTTATTTTACACTAAGCACTCCCCTGTGAGAAATAGTGGATACTGAGCAACAGCTTTAATCAAAACAAACACAAAAATGAAACAGGAAAAGAAACGTAAGGGTTAAAAATCTAATTCTGAAACTTCTTTTTGTCTGTCTGACACCTCTTCAAAGATTCATGACACATCCAAAGAAAGGTGACACTAAAAGTGACATAAACCTTAGAGCAGAGAGGACTCTGCAGCTATTTCTGTATTAGCTATTCTAAATGGGTACTAGTTTCAATAAATGCAAATAATATGAACTAACTACAGAAAAAGTGCAAGGTATATTCACACACATCTAGCAGCTTATATTTCTGCTGAATTGTTTCAAGGGATATAACAACAAAAATTCAATTTGCATCTCTCCAAGCAAGCAATGTGAGCTCTCAGTGCTCTTCTGGGTTTTCAGTTCAGAGCAGGTTTGAATAATTCTAAGAAAAAGGAAAAAATAGTACAGTCCAGGGAACTTCTTTGCCTCAGCTTGCCAGAAAAAACTAACTAAAAGTAAAGGAGAGTCCCTCCCGCTGGTCACTGCAGACAGCACAGTCTGTATGAAGGATGCAGGGGAGCAAGTGCAAGTGCAGTCTTTGATAACAAACTGCACCTCTTCTCTCTCTCCTCACTCCTGGAACCAGTCTTAAAGCTGCAGAACTCAATATTCAATACCAACAGAATAGATGATTTGGGCATACAAGCATCATAAAGTCACTCCAAGACAACAGCCATCTTCTCCTAGCAGCCAACTCTGCACCTTTCATTTGCGCTGTTTGAATATCTGTGTATGCACACAAACATACAAATATATCAAGGAAGTTACTTTCAGCTCACATACTTGTCACCGGTCAGAGACAGTATTAATATTTTCCTTTAGCAGGCTAATCTCTCTACTATGCATTCACGGCACAACTTCAAATCCTTAGGCAGACATACCATACCACTCTGGACTCTACTTCTCGGTCAGAAAAAAAAGCAGAAAGACATCTCTGAATTTGTCCAGAGAGGATTCCTAGGACAGTCCTTGGAGAAGCTGAATGGTTTTCGATTTTTTAATAAAGAAGAAATTAAATTTTCTCCTTCCCAAAAACTAATTTCAGGATCAAAAGAAATCTTCTAGAGGCTAAATGCAGTCTAAGAACACAGACTATCAGGTAGAGCTGACACTGAAACTCCTTTCTCTGTTAAATCTTCTAGGAGCAATCATTAGTCACTTTCTGGTTCCATGAGAATGGAGAAATTTGACAGTGTGCCTTTCTCTCTCGCTTATTGTCTCCTCTTCCAGTACAGTCTGAAATCCCCTGCAACATGACAGGAGCTAACAGCTCCCTTCAGATCTGACTGGATCCAGGAGTCATCCACAAGAGCTGTCAGCTAATGGATCTCAGGCTGTTTGATGTAGCAAAGTCTGGAGGCCTGTAGGATACACAAAGCATGTCTGGGCAAAGGCCAAAGAAGGTTGAGTCAAAAGACTTTGGTCTTTGGCACTAAGCCTAATGGCTGCTTTAAACTGGGATCAACTAGCCTCTTAACTAGATCTCTCATTCATGAAAAAGACAGATTTTTAACTGAATAATGAACCCTGTTCTCCTGACTTTTGCTGCTAATATATGCCTTCTTTTCCAGACCCTCACAACAGAAGCTTGTTTTTCTTCAAAGCCTCTTTTCCTGCAGGTAGCCCATACCTCCCAGCACATCACAAAACAAGAGACAGGCATCCTATGTACTGTTTGGCCTCTGACTCCCCAGCTGCCTGGACTGCCATAGACTGCCACAGGCCCTCACTTCTGTTACTACTATTTAGCAGTCATTAACAAAAAAGCTTCAACTGGTCTAAAAAACCATCCATTGGCTTTCAGGGCTTATACAAATCCATTTTCCAAGTCTTTTTATGAGATTTGGGTTTCAGTGCTAGAAACACGTTCAACTGACTGAGAAGTCTCAAGCTCCTATGCTGCAAGAGTATTTACTGTTATCTTGATTCACCCTTTGCTGAAGGGATTAACCGAGTATGTTAACCATGCTGAGAAAGTTGTAAGTCAACAAGTTTCAACACTTCACAGGCCAAAACCACAGAGAGCATACCATGCCACGTGTGTAACTCACTCCTATCTTGAGTCTGCAGGGAGGAATTAAACATGCCTACCACCAACATAATCTGAGGATCTGATAGTGTTGCAGAAGTGTCCACAAAGACAAAGCAATGAGACAGACCCAGCCGAAGAGGATTAAACCTTCTGCCACTACTGCCTCTAGTTTAGATGCATGAACATTAATGAAAGAGCTCACCAACACTACTATTGTCTAGAGGAGCCATAAATTGGAGACTCAGGGAATCTAATTTGGCATTAGGGACTCCTGTGTGCCAAAGGCTTCTATAGGAACTACAATTAGTAACTGTGAGGATTTTTGGAAAAATACCTTTCTTTTGTTAATGGAGCCAAAGAAGTATAACATATTTCTGGAGCCTGCGCAACACACAAGTTTAAGGAGAACTTCAGCAACCTAATACCATTCCTATATAGATAAAATGAAAGTTTTCTTGACCAGACAAACTCTTAACTAAACTCTTTACTCATTCACTGTGACATGTTGTCTCCATTGATTACTGCCTATTCAGCTACAAATATCTGCTGATCAGTAAAAAGTTTCAAATATAAAGGCAGCATAGTACTGGTGGAGACTGATGCATGCATACATCGCTGCCTCAAAAAAAAGCCCAATTAATTTCTTTTCTCCATTTCCTTTATTTCATGCAATATTATAGATAACATTATCAGTTATTTAATCCAAGCAATTATAAACACTGCAGCACTGCACATTTCCAGTTTATTGGAATATACATAATTTGGTGCATAGAGACTTTTCATTATACGCATATGCATGTGTTTGTACAAGACTTCCTATCAACTGAGTTAATCTGCAAGCCTGCAGTATAGTAGATGATTATATTTTAGTGAGATACAGGTAATTTTTATATCTTATCTACCACCTTTTCACAAAAGACTCTGTTCCAGGGCCTGGCCCTATAACATACTGGATGTTGCCCATAATTCCTATTTCCTCAGTTCCTAGCAAAATTAGGGAAAACATATGAAAGAGTAGTTTTATAGAAGGGCTGTGCAGCTTGCATGATCAGACTCAAACCCAGTGAAAGAAACATTAACTTCTTGTCTTCCCACAAGACTTAATGATAATTTTATGTATGCATAGAGTTGCTCTAAGTAAAACAGCCGTTTAATTTCATAAAAATAACAATGTGGGCAAATGGCACATTTGCCTAAGTAGGCATATGGGAAGATAGTGCAGGTAACTCTTTAATGATGGAATGCAAGTGTCTAGATGGAATAGACTAGACTCATACAGAATATTTCAGTTCAAAAGGAGCTACAATGATCATCTAGTCCAACTGTATGGAATAATGCTATTGCAATAAAGCTGCTCTGAGCTAATTCAAGCACTATTTTTCTCTCTTTAAGTGCCAGAATTTGAAATGAAATGTTATCTCTGTGTGAATCAAAACTACTTTCTACCATTTTCAGCCTCATTGATTCAATAGAATTCTTGGGAAAAAAGCCCCATTTAGGTATGCTGCAGTAAGATCTCCCTCAGCTAGGATTATAAACTGTGGAACTAAAAAGTTTGATAAATGAAAAAAAAAATTACATTCTGGGAAAAAACCCTACCAATTTATTAAGCAGCACGATTTTTAACATACAAACACTGTTGTGAAAGATAATTTTTTCAAATATACTGTGAGAGCGTCTGCTTGAATAAATATTTCAAAATTATTAAAAATGTATCAACTCCAATATGTGAAAATGCCATTACTATACAGAAGTTACAGGCAAGCTGAAGGTGTAATCCTTTCCATTTTGAGAAAAAAAATGCTTGGGGTGAAAAAATTGTCTAACTCTGAAGTAAGTTTCATACCACAATCTGTGACTTTTATGACAAAATTCAATGTGAAGGTGTGGGTCTGCATATGTGAAGAAGAGATCCTGAAGGTGCCATTCCTAATTGAAAGTGTTACTGTAACCCTAGTACTGCTTCCTTCACCTCCATCTGTCTTACGCCTGTAAGAAGAAACTGGAAATTCCTCCTCAGATAACAAGAGAGGAGGTGCCACAGGAACACTACAGATTAAAGAAAAAATGAGAGGGAAAACCCAGACAGAGGACATGGAAGGCAACACTCAGTAAACAGATCAGCAAAAGGGGCTGAACAGTAATGCAGCACTATTAATCGGAGTTTGTCTACAGATGGATTGCTCTGGACAAGTATCCTCCCTCTCAGTTAGATGGTCTCATGCTACATCTGTTACACTTTATTCTTTACTTGCCCAAGGATCCTCAACATTCATACATCTGAGTTCTGAAAGACTCTGCTACAAAAGGAC